GGAACACGCAACAGCCAGGCAGCTTATGATGGCGCAACTTGGAGTTAATGGGTAGTGTTGTCTGGTGGGAAACTTTGGGAGAAGAGCTGAAGCAGCAGATTTAGCGAGGAGTGCAAAAGGATAAGATAAGGAGAAGGAGAGAAGTTGCCTGCTGGCTGCAGGTGTTTGGGAGGAAGAAAGATGAGAGGGTGGCAGAAGCTGAGAGGGGCTGTTCCCCAGCCCATTTTTCTAAGATCAAAAGGTCTTATAAGTCCAAGTGGTGCATTGAAATAAAGGAGTGGCTTTTTTTTCCTTAAATCATGAAGATCTGTCTTTGATTAAAGTAGTGTGGAAACAGGTTTTTGTTCTTTCCTGCTGGGTTGCCATACTGCCTGTGAGCAGTGGACACTTTTCAAACACAGCCACCCTCTTGCAGCAAAAGGCTCAGAAATGGCAATTGTAAAAATAAACTGTGTTTACAAATAAACTTCACACTTCAGTCAAGCTGAAGAAGTCCTCCCTGCTTTTTAGTAAACTTTCAGGTGTCTGGGTTGAAGAATCCTTTCTTCAAAGAAGCTGATGTATTATCTAGGAGCTTTTATTCTTATTGTACGCACTCAGTTTTACAGGAGCGTTGAGAAATTGTTTTAAAATCCTAAATCAATAATAAAATAAGTGTTTAGACTTACTACAATATATTTACATGTTAAAGCATCTTATTAAGGCAAGGAGCTATCTGCTCTTGTGTACATTGCTAACACATGGTTGGTGCTTAATGTAAGTAATAAAATATTTGGAAATTAGTGTCTTTTCATTTACTTGGCAAGAGGGAACTTTGGTCTTGCCATTTCCATTTCAAGTGTTTCTAGTGCCAACAACACCTCAATCAGAGACAGGGAGTACAGAATAATGCCCTGCTTAAGTATTCTTAGTGTCAGGAAAAATGGAACCTGGCAGTACAGGTCTGGATAGGTACGAAGAAATGGATATTCATACATTCTGAAATAAATATCTATGCGTGCAACTGAATCTAAATATGTATAATTGACTTGGAGTCTTTAAAAGCTTTACAGTATGTTTAACTCTTTCATTACTCTTTTTAAGGCTGACAGTGTTATCTTCAAAATCTATTTCTGCTTCGGTAGAAAAATATACTGTCGTGAGATTATTGTTCTGTATGATAGAATAGTAATTAATTGGTAAAACCAAAGTGAGTAATCCTGGCTCATTCAAAAATAAATATTAGAGATAATTTTATGGTTTTTAACCAAGTAAACATTTAGTCCATAAAAAATGTATTTATTATTTCTATTGCATATGGACACATTGCATTAAAAAAAAAAAAATACTGAGTCTCTCCTATGGCCAAACCTACAAAATCACTGGTACAAAGCCTTCTTTAACCAAATACCTTGTCCATAGTCTTTTAAGTGTTGATGTGCTGAAGTGTCATTTTGAGCTTTACAAAACAAAGATAACCTGCCATTTCTTTGATGTTTCATGGTAGGCTGGCCATCTATGCTTATGAGTTCTTAAATCTTATCACATGATCAGCCATAGAAACAAGATAATAAGCAGGTCCTGGTAATCTGGTTGGTCTGCTCAGTACCTTTCCTAATATATATCGGTGTTGAATTGCAGTTGGCCAAATGTGCACAATGTGTTTTTTATAATTAGCCATTTTGGAGAAAGAGACATTTGCTGGTTTCAGTGACATATCCATGTGTGACCTAATATGCTGCACCCTTGTTTTTCTTTCCCCCTGTCTGTCTCTCTCGATCTGTTCAGTGTTTTCTGATGCATCTCCAGCAAGCTCACAGGGTGCTAGTGAGAGCCTATTTCTCACCCCATTAAGATTGTCTGTCTGAAATATTAACCATATGGTGATTCTTTATTTTCCTGTAGTTGGCCAAGTCCAGCACTGAAAGGAAGGTTCAAGTCCCAGTCTCTTGCAGCAGGCCCACCAAATGGTTCAACGTACTCAAGAAGAAACAGTCCAGTGATGGGCAGCCCAGGGAAATATGGCAATGTTGCTTCATTTTTTCCGGATCTTGGGAGTCCTGGGCGGTACAGTCCAGTTTATGCCAACAATATCCTGTTGTTAAAACTGCATCACTTGTCAGAACCTTCTGCCCATTAGAACATAACTCATCTTCCTGGGACTTTAATTATATTTTCATTTTAAGAGTGAAGGGAAAAACTGTAGCATTGCTAAAGTGACATGAGGAAGTGTCCTTGGCTATTTATTTATCCTCATTTGAGGACAAATATACATTTTAAAAATTGAGTATGTCTTGACTTCATGTACTGGATAGATTACTGGTGATTTGCAAGAAGTTAGTGAAGTTAACTCTTATCCAGTAGTTATAAAACTAACAGTAGGGCAGTGACCTGAACCTTTCATGTAGTCATTTCTGCTAGAAATGGTGGTGTTTGCTGTAGGCCAAATGTGATAGTCAAAATGAACCCACTGATGCATTTTTTTTCACTTGGATAATTTTGAAGCATCTTCTCTCTAACCTAGAATTCTGTTTATTGATAAGTCATGCAAGGAGTCAAATGCATTCATATTCCATTTACAACAGGAGAAAAAAAACGTTTAACCTGGGCAATTACCTCTTCCCTGTTCCAGTAAGAATTTGACTCCCCACTGCTCAATACAGAAAAGTTTGCTTATGGCCAACTATTCAGTCTAAACAGTAAGAAATCTCTAAAATAAAGAGCAGCCAGAGAAACTTTTATGAGTCACTTCTCATTCTGAGGATGATGATAAAAACACATCACAGGTTGAGAGTTTTAGGAAAAAGGCACTATAGAAATTAGTGACCTATGTTTATGTTAATTTGAAAATAAAAGCTCAGCTTTTGCTGTTTGCAGACTTCACTAGTAATTACACAAAAGCTTATCAGCAATAATTAAAGTAAGTTTACCAGTGATGTATGTTAATGGTCTAGTTTAATGTAATATATTATGGAGATAAACAGAAACCCATGAAGTGGTTCCTTATTTCCTAACTGTTAGAAGGGATGAATAAGGACTGAGACATTGTTTTTATTGAAATTTATTGTTTTATTGAAATGTCTGTAGTCTAGATATAGTAACTACCTTTTTTTAAAGCTACAATTAAAAATAATTTAATTTCTCAGTATTCTTTAAGGATGAACCCTTTGGATAGTGCTATATGGAAATTGGAAATGTTTCTCAACTTGAAACAGAACACTCAGAATGTAGATTTTGATAGTTTGTGGTTTTGCTTAAGAAAAGGCTTTCAAGTAGTGTAGTTCCCTATTACATATAGTTTCTGCCACACAATTAAAAATAATCTTTATGCTAGACACCTGATCAGAAAATTCAAAGGTGCCATGGGCATATGAGTAAAAAGGATAGATTATATTGGTTGATAACAATACCCCCCCCATTGCAAAGAAAAAATAGCCCCTCAAGGAGCTTTTGTAACATGCATATGTATCTAAAGGAACCCTAATAGTAGATGGGATGGCATAGTATATTGTTATCCAACTGTGGGACCTTTATTACGTCACAGAGGTTGGATTAAATTGTACAAGACATGGCTGTTTTGGTAGCTATTGCACACTAGAGTAAAATGACTGTTTCATACACAAACTGTACACTGTTCTGAATATACTTGTTTGGTACGAACTTCAAAACTGCACTTAATGCTTTTGCAAGCTTAATAGTGCCTTTTATAGCATTTTTGTTCGTGGTTTTAAAAGTGGCATCCACTTACATGGGAATTTAAAATGTAGTTTCCCCTCTAAGACTCTGAATGGAAAAGTATTCTAAAGGTGCTTACTGTTTTGGTAAAATAGCTCTGGAGTTACAGGTGTATGTTTTGGAACTGTGTTTATAGGTGGCTTAAATGGAAATTGTTGTTTGATTCCCATGAGCTGAATGTTAGAAATGAGTAATTGACCCATCATTCAAATATTATCCACCCAAGTTGCTTTATTATGGGACTCTCCTCCAAAAAAACCTACTATATTAGTAGTAACTTTTCCGGTGGCTATTCATTTTTGTTGCTGTAGAGGTCTGTATCAAGCATACATTTCAGTTGCTTTAACTTCTAAATTATTAAAAAATCAGTTTCCCTAAACTTTCTGGACTGTGTGTAGTAATTATCCAGTCTATCCAGGTAATTGCTTAAATATTATATACACAGACAAGTGATGTGTGTGTATATAAAAGCTGACAACACTTCACAAGTTAGTTGTACTCATCTTGATATACAAACCTTAACACTGATTACTGCATATATTTTTTTCCAGTACTTCCAACATTTGTGCCTGTCTGAGGCAGCTATGGGCCTCCAGATAATGGAAATTCCCACTTAAATCTATGATATAAGTTCTACGTTCCTGTTTAGAAATAGCTTAAGAAAAACTTTGGTAAAACACAATCAGGGGATTGAGAAACTGATGCTTTATAACTAGTTCCTGTCCTTTTCTTTTATATGCTTTTTTGTATTAAAATGCAAATTTTTGGCACCAAAACTTCTAACTCTTGTTTGGGGAGGGAGAGAGCATTTTTTAGTGACAAATGCCTTATAGAATTTGCATTTTAGTCCATGTGTTTGTACTCTGTTTTAAGTAAATTTATAATACATAACTTCATTTATTTAAAAATATAGCAATTTGTTCATTCAGAATCTTGGAAGATCTTCTAGAAGAGTCTGAAGACACTATAAATCTAGATTGGGACTGTTTGTTTAGTTTTTAATAGTTGATCTCTGATTACGCAAAGGGTCTTTTATATGTCAAGTAAGACTTTAAAATGCTGAGCTTCTATTCTAACAGGTAGTTAAGGTGTCATAGGTGGATGGGAATATAGATCCATGTTGTGAAACTAAATGCAGCGATATACAAACAAAGCATCTTTCTGTTAGATACTATGGTTTTGTTTCTATAATGAAATTTAATTGGTGCCTCAATTTGGGACATGAAACCAAAGGTTTGGAAAATATTTCACAACTTGAAAGACTTTTTTGTCTCTTGCTCATGGCATTTGGGGGGAGAGAAATTTATGCTCCACGTTGCTCAGATCAGAGAGGGGTATTTTAATGGTACAAAATCTGTACTCTCTAAATAGGGCTATTGCCAGCTTAATTTTGTTTTATGCCTTAGTGCCAATACAAATGCTGATTTCTGTACATGTGCAAAAGATGTGTTGTATGTGTTCTTGCCTTCCACCCTGCACGTATTTATGGTTCTTTCAATACTGTATGTAATGTGCTGGAATAAAGTGCACAAAATATTCAGCATTAGACACTGCTACTGATTATATGGTGGGGGATTTTCAAGATGCCCATCTATCCTGTATGTATTGGTTTCAGGCATAGAGTTGCTTTTGAACAATTATAAGGGTATGAGATCATGAGCCAATGATGTTGGTGTAGTCTTTTTAAAATGCAGAAATGTCATGCTTCAGTTCATCACCAATACACTTCCCTTCTTAGGGCTTGCAGTGGGTATTCCAAAATGTGGTGATTGCTATACTGAAAAGTACACAAAGAGACCCCTTAAATTTTTATTCAAATATTTTAAAAAGTTGATAGACAAAATTATTCCAATTTCTTGTAGTGATTGCTGAAGACAATCTCCCCCCCACCCCATTTTCCATATACAAAGTTTTATGTTCTTTACTAGCTTGTTTCACTAAACTAAGCTATCTGTCTCTAGCAGTTGGATCAAACAGCCTGGAACAAGTTCAGGGTTTTAACTGCTCATGTTGCTAGGCAGTATTTCTCATGATTAAAACTTCATATTTGTTCTGACAAGGGAAAGGTGAGTACCTAACATTTTCTTCAGGAAAAGTTTGTCATGTTATTAACATGATTAGCAGTAACTTCCTACCCACTTATTTGCTCTTTCACCTCTTAACTCATATAGCACCAGAGTTTTTGCCCAAACTTACTACTCATGGTTGGAGTGCCAAAAGGTACATAGGCATTAACAGCATCAAGTAGGGAGTTTGTTTGTTAGAGGGCTGCGCAAGTGCTTGGCTTATGTAGGTAAGCTTTAAGAACTACTACCTGACCAATTTGATACTGCCACCAGCCCCATTCAGACATCAGGACAAGGTAGTGTGGCTTATGGGGAAAGTCTGTCTTAACATTTACTTTCCTTCTGGAGTAAGAGGGGTAGGAAATTTCTGGCTTCTAGCTGCTTCTGTAGATACAAAAAGACTTCTGCCATTGTGCAAGGCAAGAAGTATTTTTCAGAATAGGGGAATGAACATCCAAGACAGGAAGCATTAAAGTCACACTCCAACGTAACACCACAGCTCTATACTTCTCTCCTCATTTCAGTATGCCTTGTGTCTGCTAAACACCTACATGTACATAACTTCAACAGGGGAAAGCATGAATAGTCATACCCCTCTATAGTAAAGGAATCAGTTCACCAAAAGCTCAACAAGGAAGAGTAATTTTCACTTTACAGGCAAGTGATGCTCACAAATATCCTTTCACCAGTCTTTTCCCACTCCACATCTCAGAGCAGGGAGGTGTCGCTCTTCATTTTATGAAGTGATACAAGTCCATAGAACTCTGAAGAAATGTAGTCTTCTTTTTGGGACTGAAAAGCAGACATGAGTATGCAAAGGAGGTAGAGGGGATTAAAGTACAATTTTAAAATACCATCATACCCTGATATTACAAATAGAAATTTAGTGGTACAGTAGTTGGATGTACTAGTGCAGAGAGACTAGAAGCAGCTCCCACATGGCCATCACCTGCAGACTCAGGTGCGTGTGATTTTATCTGGAGGCATGAATCCTGTGTCTCCAAGTGTTCTAAGTGCCACTCTTCCACTAGGACGGATCACCAAGTGGGTTATACTGCCATTATTAAGGGACATCCGAAGCCAGCCTTCTGGGGGGAACTGTAATGCTCTATTAAAAGAGAAAGCAATTAGTATATGGTTTACTCCACAAGCATATGTGAAGATTAGCATGCATCTGACAGAACTATTGTCTATCATTTCTTCTATCTAGAACAGAACCACCCCCATGAAGCTGTCAGCCTCCAGCATTTACAGTAGGGCTAAATATTAAAAAAAAAGTATTTTTAATTTATAAGGGAGGTCTCACTCAGAGGCTTGCTAGGTGAAAGGGGTCTACCATACAAAAAAGTATGAGAACCACTGCTGTATACCAAGCAGCTCACATGCAGAATCTCTGCCTACTGCTATCTTTGAAAAGTTGATATTGAGTGGTCAAAGTTAACATGAAAGCATATATGGCTTTGTTAATCAGTGGCCACTCCAGCAGGCTTTTATAAAAGAGTGCAACAGATTAATGTAGATTGGACATGGAAAGCTTAAAAAAACCTGTTGCCAGGAGAGCTTTGAGTAACCTAATAAAACAAGATGACAGCTGCCCTAGATTCAAGACCAAAGAGCCAGTGTAGAAGTTTTCAACTTTGGTATTGTGGTTACACTCCTTGAAAAGAAAGGTTCTCAGAGGAAAAGCAGCTGATAGGAAGGAAACGACAAACTATATCATGCACTTGATGTAGAGGCTCTTGTTTAGCAGTCCTTTCCCAGCTCTAATAGGATAGTTTACTCCCACAATTACTAACTGAACTTGGCACATTAAATTATAGCACAACACCTGGAGACAGTATTAGAATACTATGCCAGAGTAAGACTATAGCTTTGACTGCTGCAGCTCAAACCATTAGTGGCCACAAACATCAACACCAATTAAAAAGTATTATTTTATACTGTGGCTTCCCAAAGAGTGCAAAAATGTTCTGCTGCAGTAGTCAAACTAATTTTAAACTAGACGTAGAGAGGTGGGGAAAGCAGGGAGGGAATGGAGTGAAGGGGAGCCACAGCATAATTTAAGCGGAGTCCTCAGCTGCAGAGAATTGGTGGTTAGGGAAGGTTATGACCTGGAGGTTCACAGTGAGAAGGACATGAGATGGGGTGAGCAAGTCCACTGAGAACTTTAGGAAACCAGGCAGGAGAGTGAACTGGAGTCATAGGTGCATAGGAAGTCAGTGAAGATGACAGGATATAATCCCCTTTGTGCAGAAAAGTAGTCTGGCTCTAACCTCAGCTTTCTTCAACAAGGGGAAATAGCACTGTTTACCTTGCCAATAAGTACTAGAGTTTTTAAAGCACCAAAGAGGGCACACTAATATAGCTCACAGCAGAGAAACACAGATCTATGGTTTTAACAGAGTATCTGCTTACTAGAATAGAATAGCATGAATGCTTTGTTGCTAGTGAATGGCAACTGTCCTGCTCACAAGGCAAATAATTTGTTAGGCCAGAGCCTGTAGAGAAGAATGGTAGCTGGGTAAAGACCTAACACTATCCCTCCCCAGTTCCTGAGCCACCTTGCTGCCCTAGCGGTAAGGGTTTTTTCCCCCCATTGACATTAAATGCTTTTGGGAAATAAATTTATTTAGCTGCAGGAATCCTGAACTGCTGACACAAAGGTGCTAGTTCTGTTTTAAGGCAATATGAACCACTGGGTATGCATGTAATCAAGTTTGAGTCCAACTAAAAGCCACCTCAAAATACCTGCATACCACCGAGGCCTGCATAAAGTTAAACTTTCTATTACTCTACAAACATTTTGTATTTGTCCAAGTTTCTCTTGACAGCAGTCCACACCTGAGTTGTGCCAAAAACTAGAATAGCCTAGGACAGCATTAATGATCTGATGTTAATATAAAACCTAGAAAATCAGTCCCAATTCTCAGTACTCTGTACTAGTCTCTCATTATTAATTCAGTGTGGATGTTCAAAATTATTTTAAAATCCCTTTTTCATATCTGTAGATTAATCTTCTGATCATATGTTGTAAGCACAGCTGCTCAGAGAACCAGGCACTCATCCCCTCCAGTCACTTCAAACCTGTTAACTGATTTCCTAGCTGTAATGGACTAGAGACAGTGCAGTGCACTAACCCAATTTAAAAAGGTTAAAGGTTTGACATTTAAATGTGCAGGTGGGTATTTGGTCCCTCATAAATTACCTGCAAACTATGTAGCGGATCACATTGGCATGGCAAACAAAAATCTCATAGCTGTCCTCTTCCTGTTTTGCATCAGCCCTATGAATATAGTTTCGGAAAGCAGCCTCAATACGAGCCCCATCTTCATAATACTGCTGATGACAAGAGAGTTTGTAAGTAGACACTGAAACAGATCAAACCAGCCATGAAGCTACATGCACCTTCAAAAGGGGTGCTGCTTTTGGCTATGGCTACACTACTGCTCAAGCTGACATAAATTATGTCGCTCCTGGGTGTGAATTAGCCACCCTCCTGACAGACATAATTTATGGCAACATAAGCACTGGTGTGGACAGCGCTATGTCAGCAGTAGAGCTTCTCCCACCAACATAACTACCGTCACTCTCAGGAGCTGGAGCAATTAAGCCAACAGGAAAGCGCTTTTTCCCCCCCCCATCAGCTCAGAGCAGCGACAATAGAGACCTTTCCAGTGCCGCTGTAAGCTCTCTAGTGTAGCCATAGCCTTAGACAGTTATAATTCCTTTAGGGAAAAATAGCTCAGCCTCAAACCTGGCCAAGCGGCGAACAGAACAGTGCCAGGTTACTATGGGGAATTTAAAGTTATGACCAAATATTTTAAAATATAGGACAAGTAAAAGGTATGGAGTGATCCAAGGCCTAGGACATACAGCCTACAAACAAACAATACAGTTAATTAAAGACTGGACTATGCAGATTATTTATATATAAAAAATATAAACTTACCACAGCTTCTGGTTTCCAGTGAGATACTGGAGGGACTGGTTCTATAGGAGCTCCTTCTCTTAGCAGGTCAGTACTAATTTTTTTGACCCCTGGAAATGAAGTACACATTCAGAAAGTGAAGTAAAAGCCACTTTATAGGCCAGTTCACAAACAGACCAACCACATAATTTCTCTTGCCATCAACCTAACCCAAGAATCCTTACCACCATCTACAGGCAGGAGTGAAACCACACCTCAGAACAGCTGCTATCTTTATCCATCACCCTTTCAGTATGCTACCACCTCCTCCTCCTCCTTTAATTTAAAGTGACAAGCACTGCACACAGCAGCATCCAGTACACACTTTCCATACAAGAGTGGCTAACCCAGTCACAACACTGTCCTGTATTAATTCCAACAGCTCTTGTAGAAATGATCATTAGCATTCTCTCCCTTTCAGCAGAGTTGCACTTCCAGACGCAGGTCTGTGGCAGTCAGTAAGCATTCTTGGTTACAAGCTAACTATTCCAGCCTCTCCTCCTAAACATTCTGAAAGTTCAAAGAGCAAACTGCCAACGTCTCCTACACAGTAATACATTCAGGTATCGACCACTCAGAGGGGTCAGCTCTTTAAATTGCAGCTTCATTTCTACTTCGTCTTTATGACTATTTCATTTTTAAATTAAAAAGTTAATTTACAAAGTGTACAGTGGTCTAGGATATGGCTACACTTCAACTGAACACTACATGTCAAAAGGTGCAAAAGAAGCAATCATAAGACAGCATTATGCTATCAAACCCCACTTACCTGGAAGATGCTTGCTGATGATGTCGGTTGTTTCCATTGCTCTGGTCATAGAGGAGTGGATAATTGTATCAAATTTCAACCCCAAACTTGCCAGCCTGCGCCCAGTCAGCTCTGCCTGCTCACGACCTTAAGAGTGAGATTAGCTATATAATAAATTGCTGATATTTTGCTCTTTATATTTAACAAATATTAGCTCATCATCCTTCTATGCCAGCTCTGATCCTTCCTTCCAGCAGTCAATGCTTTTAGCAGCATCACCACCAAGAGACCAGGCTTGCTAGCTGCCAAGCTCCAATTCACATTACACAGGCTGGAAGGGATTTCTGTTGGTTAGGCCAGATCCAGTTCTTTTAGTTTCTGATTCTCCACTTTAATGGGAAGCACTGAAGAGAGGACCTCACCCATTAGTCATGGTCCTTGCTTTTTAAATCCCACAAGGTGAACCACTTCCTCACTGGGCCCATGCAAATAGCTGTTACTGTAGCTAGGTCTTCAATTTGCCAGTCACTTTCTACCACCCCTACATTCTAGGAATGCAGAAGAAGGAGAATTGTGTGCATGTCTGGTAGTCCTGCTTGAAACAAAGGCTGCAGATATGTTAGCTTGGAAGGAAACATGCATTATTCACTAATTGAGCTTCCTCAGATGTTACTTGCAAGATGAGAATAAGTTTTTACCTACTATCCCAGGGTATTTAAAATCTTAAATAAGCATAGATGGATAGAAGGGTAGATGGCTGAAGGAGACATATGACCAGACAATTGCAGAGCCAAGAATATAAGCCAGGAATCTACTATTCTAACCACTGTTATTGTCTCATCAGATGTGTATTTAATATATTCACACCTTTAATCAAATTTGTTCTTGAGCATGCAAATTAAAACTCAGAAAGCATCCATATTAACATCTGGCACCATGTTTTCAGCAACTGAACCAGCATCACATACAGAAAATTCTTGCCCTTTCAGGGAAAAAGGGTATAAAAACACCAAAGATGTTTACCACTCTTTTTTAAATTAAACAGCTACAGAATTCTAGTCAGTGCTACTTACAGTTTTTGATATCCAGACATATGCATTAGCCAAGTACAGATTAATTTAGGTATCAGTATACAAACAGATTGTCTCATCTCATCTCAACAAATGGGGGTTTATTAATGTAATTCCCTGCAGCCTCATTAGAGATAAGGATGAAGCAAGGAGCATATATAATGATTCTCTAACTACGAGCACTCCAACTGAAAAGACACACAAGAAAGCCAGAGAAAAAAAATCTAGTTAACAGCTACATGAAACGCCATTTAGTTATTTTCATCACCAGAGTCAAAAGGTGTGGCCTGCATAATAAAATCCCATATAGAAACCCATTTCCAAGACTTTAGAATCCAGAATAGTCATCCTGGGTCTTGAATTTAACTCAAAATTTCAGCCAAGGGAAATTTTAAAAAAATCTGCTGTGAAAGTTTAGTTCAAAGTCTCAAAGGAATCCAGTACGAAGCGCTGAAGCATGATTACTGCACAGGTGGCGGCATGTTTGATATATGCCTAAACATGCATTTTATTTATAGGATGGGGGGGGGGCGACACGACAAACTTATTTTGGCCTATATATGTTCAAAGGATCCAACATCCTAAGTAGGAAGTTGGCAATAGGATCCAGAGCAGAACTGGTTGCGTTAACGTATGAGATTAGTGACAGACAAAGAACCTCTTTCTCTATGAAGCTGCACAATCAAGTAGGGTCCTAGTCGCACATACCCAGTTGTGTCAGAGTTCTGTCTTTATCAATCCGGCCATCCAAGTTGTACTGAGAATGGCGGATAAGGAATATGTGTCTGGTAGCTTTTGCTTTGCAGTGATCTAGGCGGGAAGCAAGCTCTTCTTCCCCAGTCTCTTCATTTTTCTTTTTCCGGTTGATAAGAGCCAGTGGCTCACGTCTAAAAATATTAAAACAAGTCATTTTTATATGTGGCAGACGAAAATGTTACAAACAGGGACTCCCGCCTCAATTGATTTCAGTATTTGGAGGATCTAAAGATTTTTTCCCCCAATTATGTTAGCAAAAGTTTTTATCAAACATTTAACTCTTCTCTGAAATACCCCAAAAACCCATATACAACACATTCGAGTTTTACACCCTATCTAGCTGAAGTCAAGCTAGCACCACCCACCTACCTGAGACTCATGCTACCTATTAGTCAGAATATAGTATAGTTGTAATTTAGTTCTCAGGGGGGAAAAATCCCTATAAACACTAGTAAGGGATTCAGGCATGCTTTGACAGACTATTACTCCTGAGGGCATTCTGCACCAAAAAATTAAAAATTCTGCACACAATATTTTAAAATTCTGCAAGTTTTATTTGTCAATAAATAAATGCAGAGGCTCCAGCATGGGTGTGGGGAGCACAGGCCACTGGCTGTATGAAGGTGGGAGATCACCCTGCAGTTCCCCCACCCCAGGGACATGGATTCAGTAGTAAGGCTGCACCCGACCCTGACACAGCACAAGGCCTGGGCCTGCCCCAGAAACTCCTTGGGGCCCTGCCCCTCTGCGCCAGGCGCACCAGGTGTGGGGCAGACAGGCTCAACCAGGCAGGATCCAAGTGGGGAGGAGCTCAGTGTGCAGGGATCCAGGTGTGGGTGAGAGGATTCTGTGTGGGACAATCTAGGTGTGGGGGACCTGGATGCACAGAAGCTTGTTGGGGGAGGTTCCAGGTGCAGAGGCAGGGGGCTTCCAGATGAAGGTAGTTGGGGCTCAAGGGAAGGGTGTGGGGGTCTGGGTGTTGGAAAAGTGGGGCTTAGTAGGGGGGATCTGGGTGCAGCTAGTTGGTGGTCACTGGCATGGGGGCCTGGATGTGGGGGCTCACAGTGCAAGGGGTGGGGCGTGGTTTGGGTGCAGGGATGGGAGTCTGGAGGTAGGGGTTGAGATTCAGTGTGGTGGGGTTTAGGTATGGAGGGCTAGGGGGGTTCTGGATGTACCAGGTGAGGCTTGGCAGGGGTGTCTGGGTGTGGGAGGTCCAAATGCACAGGGGTTGGGAGGCTGGGGGAGCAGCTCCCTGTATAGTGACCCCTCCCCCACAGCTGAGGAGTGATGGAGGTAGGAAGCAGTGGAGGATGCTGAGCTTCCTGCAGCTGGGGGAGGTTTCTGGGGGTGGGTATGACACAGCCCCAGCCACTTCTTGCAAAGGAATAGGAAGTCCTGTCCTTTCCTGCCTCCAGCCTGGCTGAGACTAGCAGCTGATCCCGGCTCAGGGTAGGAGCCACTGGCTGCAGCATCCCCAACCCCGCAGTGATTTACCTCTCCGCCCAGGTGCCTGAAATGATGTACCTGCACAGCTAGGGAGTGGTGTGTGACTGCTCTTTCAGTTTCCCTTTGTTTCCCTGTCATAAAGTCATTTTTCTGTGGGGAAGCAAAGAAATCTGTGGGGGATATGAATTCTGCGCAGTGGTGCAGAATTCCCCCAGCAGTACTTTATGGCATATATTAAAGTACATCCAAGTTACATTCTGTTAGTTTGGAGGAGAGGAGCACAAGCGAGAGCATCTTTGAAATATCTGATTATTAATTTTACTCTTGCCTATTGAGTAGTTACCCTTGGGTTTCCACTGGAGTGTGAATGTCAAGTTAGATGGTATTTTATGCGTAGAGAAAAAGAAATCTGAATGGAATATTCAGCAAAATCTTAATTTTACCTGTCCAATCTTGCAACACCCTATTCCCTACTTGATTCTGAAATTCATTAGAGTGGGAGATCTGATTCAAACTGTTGTATTGTCCATCTATTTAGTGAACTAAAATTATGAACAGTAGGTATGGCGGAGCAACACATTCAGAAACAGGACTCACAGATTGAATCAATTAACTAGGAAAACTCAGACAATGCTAGTTCCAGACAGCATAACGTCAATTTTTGCCTTATATTTGATTAACACAGAACAGATCTACATTTCTAGAAGGAAAGAAAAAACCCTTCTTGTTCATTTAGCTTCTAGCCAGTGAAACAGGATTGCCAAGAATATGCTGGTACATATCAGGTACCTGTATCAGGAAAACAAAATCATAACCTGTGTTTGTATAGACATTTAATTCTTTGTTCTTGTTTGCTAGAAGCACTGGTTAAGCACGTGTCAACAACTGATTCTCTACACCAGCTAAAAATATTTCTTGCATCCTACTCTATGTTTACCTTTTCTTTGATATGCTACTGTACTAAATTAAGACATAATTAGACATATGGCTCAATTAGTGTTCAGAGTACTATTCAGGTATACAGGAAATTCACAGTTGAGCATACACTAACCCACTTCTTAGTAGTGCAACACATTGGATGTCACTGCAGTACTTACATATGGAAGAACCACCACTGACTGAATCCCCCTGCATAAACCAGGTACAAAGGTGCAGGTAGAGCCTGCAGTGGGACTGGGATCTTGCAGGACCTATTGCCATAATAGCGAGAGCAAGTAAAATGTACTTTGATGCATGCAGGATTGGATGGTCAAAAAAACCCGAAAGAAAAGGAGTACTTGTGGCACCTTAGAGACTAGCCAATTTATTTGAGCATGAGCTTTCGTGAGCTACAGCTCACTTCATCGGATGCATACCGTGGAAACTGCAGCAGACTTTATATACACACAGAGATCATGAAACAATACCTCCTCCCACCCCATTGTAGGGAGAGTGGTCACTTTGGATGAGCTATTGCCAGCAGGAGAGTGAGTTTGTGTGTGTATGGGAGTGGGGGGGGGGGGTGAGAAAACCTGGATTTGTGCTGGAAATGGCCCACCTTGATTATCATGCACATTGTAGGGAGAATGGTCACTTTGGATGAGCTATTACCAGCAGGATAGTGAGTCTGTGTGTGTGTGTTTTTTGGAGGGGGGTGAGGGGATGAGAGAACCTGGATTTGTGCAGGACATGGCCCACCTTGATTATCATGCACATTGTGTAGAGAGTTGTCACTTTGGATGGGCTATTACCAGCAGGAGAGTGAGTTTGTGTGTGGGGGATGGAGGATGAGAAAACCTGGATTTGTGCTGGAAATGTCCCAACTTGATGATCACTTTAGATAAGCTATTACCAGCAGGACAGTGGGGTGGGAGGAGGTATTGTTTCATGATCTCTGTGTGTATATAAAGTCTGCTGCAGTTTCCACGGTATGCATCCGATGAAGTGAGCTGTAGCTCATGAAAGCTCATGCTCAAATAAATTGGTTAGTCTCTAAGGTGCCACAAGTACTCCTTTTCTTTTTGCGAATACAGACTAACACGGCTGTTACTCTGAAACCAAACAGAGTGCAGTAATTTGCAGAAAAACAATCTTTTTTTAAAAAATAAAGGTTTTAAAACAAATTTGAGCAAGGGATAGAAATATCTGAGGTCTATTGTAACAGGAGTTAAAGTATTTTTTACATGATTTAAGCAAGTTTTTTTAATTCTTTTAGTGGTAAAAATTGTGTCTGAATTCTATTTATATATAGACTATATTAACGGACCTTTTTGGGGGGTGGGAGGGGGATTAGTAGCATGGGGAAATCTCTCTCTCTTGTGGGATTTACAGGTGGGAGCATGATAAAAATACAAGAAACAATGCGGGAGCAAAACTGGGTATTGCGGGATGGGACAGGAGAGGGATTTAAAAAGTAGTCCCGCATGGGGTTCTAGGGGCAGGCAAAGAATAGTTCTCATGAACCCTTGTATACAGCATTATATGAAAATCTTTAGAGAACAGATATAGTCTCAACCCTGAATTTTCTTACTCTCCTAGTTTTAGGTCCTCTGTATCTTGACTGCATTCTGGAAAGAATATTTACAGAAATATGCTAACATAGTTTCACATTTCAGCATTGGCAGAATCATTAAGCTACTGCTTGAAGTCCAATATTCCCGTGGATCTGTAAAGATGTAAAAGTGGCAAATAAACTTGGGCATTTGTATCACCTGTATGCTATAACTGCATTAGCATTGTGTGTGCTAAGCTATGCACTATAATAGTATCTGTTTAGCCAATCTATGTTCATTAGTTTAATATTATTCACATCATGAGCAGCATGTCTACCTGTTCTAGATATCAGCTACACAGGAAAGCCATTCCTGCACAAGTACTAGAAGAGTTATCACCTCTGAATCTTGTTAATTTATAGGAGGGAGGGGCTGTTTGTGCAAATTTAACACTCATTGAAGATGACAGAAAGATGTGCTGAGATCTAGACAGCCAGCTTCCCTCAAAACCTTACCAAAGTGCCTCAGTCTTGAACCTGGAAACCACCTTTAAGGGTGAAAGGGAAGTTCAGTAATCCTGGTCCATTCAGCTCTTTGCTTCTCTGCAGAGACTGTCAACAAACCTATTGTCCAAACAGCCTCAACACTGCAGTGGTGGCTTTTACTGATGTGAACTAGATCAAAACAAAATTCAGATATAGGGAAGCAGGAGGAACAGGCTGAAAGATACTCCATTTTAGAATTACTTCATAGAATATCAGGGTTGGAAGGGACCTCAGGAGGTCATCTAGTCCAACCCCCTGCTCAAAGCAGGACCAATCCCCAACTAAATCATCCCAGACAGGGCTTTGTCAAGCCTGACCTTAAAAACCTCAAAGGAAGGAGATTCCACCACCTCCCAAGGTAACCCATTCCAGTGCTTTAACACCCTCCCAGTGAAAAAGTTTTTCCTAATATCCAACCTAAACCTCCCCCACTGCAACTTGAGACCATTACTCCTTGTTCTGTCATCTGCTACCACTGAGAACAGTCTAGATCCATCTTCTTTGGAACACCCTTTCAGGTAGTTGAAAGCAGCTATCAAATCCCACCTCATTCTTCTCTTCTGCAGATTAAACAATCCCAGTTCCCTCAGCCTCTCCTCATAAGTCATGTGTTCCAGTCCCCTAATCATTTTTGTTGCCCTCCGCTGGACGCTTTCCAATTTTTCCACA